AGAACACTCAGCCATACCAGTAACTCCAAAACGAGAGCTAGAACCAATCTCCTCTTTGGCGAGCACCCTCAAGAGTCCCTGCTTGGGCTTACCTTGCAGCGGACCTCATCGGTTTCGAGCAAATTTATCAGCACCTCCAAACCACCGACGTCACGTACAGCCAATTGACAAATCTCTGTCTTCAGGGGCATATCTCGCAGGGCACACAGGGAGATGATTGTAGACGTCTGGTTGCCATCCTAAAGGTTGAGAGGTAAATATCGTGAATTGGTTAATCCTTTGTTTAAGCTGAATAATCTTAGTACAGTAGACGTTTCGCCAGCATCTTCAGTCACATTTAACATAAAGCCCTGATTAGCTATGGGCTGGTGCTAAGGCTAGCTCCGTTTGTTGAAGATACCAACGAATTTATGGAAAGTGTAGCCTTAAGTTTCAGGACTATTAGGCTGTTGAACCATATCATAGCTTCTTTTTGTATATATGTCGTGAAGACGTAATTCCCTAATCAGAACCAAGTATGGATCTCTGGATATATGTACAAAATGAAGCAATGGGACGCATATTATAAAGTTTTGTGCTGTCATAACTAGTATACAAATAAATAAAGCTATATGGTTAATCGACTGACCAGCATACGCAGAGGGGTTTAGTTATATTCATCTACAGTCAACATATCTGCCAATCTTCCCATCTCAACAATATTTAAGTATGGAATATGCAATTTCACTCATATTTTTATTTAAAGCATTAACTCTTGAGAACCCTTAGCTAACGTTACACTCTATCAACTTACTCAAATCTTATATTAGATCTATAAATAGTCTCAAAATACCTACTTATAAAACGAAAAATAAGTGATGTAATCTATTGATTTGGTAATTACAGCTTTGCTTCATCGTAATCCCAACAGATATATGTTATAGGGGAATTGCTGGCCTTCCTTAAAATTCACATCTATCCTGTAGCCCAAGGACACTTGTGATAGCGTTATACTATCACGGTTTGAGTCCCATTTGGGATGCAAATATGACCTAGGCAAGATCGAAACTGCAGTCAACTATGGAGCAGAATACCTTTTGGAAAGCAAAGCTTTGTGAAATTCACTGGAAACGTAAGGTCTACTGATATCATTGTGGGAAAATTCAATTACCAGTTTTTCATTACCATAGGGATATGTGGTGAATACAACCCTTAATTAGACTTAACACTGGTAATATCGTACTCTGCCTTTCACATATATACAAGAATCTACACGTACACTAAGACTTTCATAAGCGTGAAAATAAACTGTTTTGTTTTAATTAACATAACAGGCAAGGAAGAGCCAGTTAGCATACTCCATTTTTCATTTGTAAATAGGGTGTGGAGAATATATGAGGTGTGTTCACCCTATTGTGTTTAAGATGATGAAGGACTGGTAAGAATGAGAAAGACTTCTGGCAACTTCAGTCAGGTGAAGTGACAGAAGAAAGTTCAGCCGGTCTACACTAAAACTGAAGGTAAAACCTCGTTATCTGTATTAATTATAACGTCTTATTAAACAACTGCAGAGCAATAGAAGATCACACTCGTTTTATGATTAGATCGACCTAACTACTATTTCATCGGTGAATTATAGAAGCTGTATAAAATAAGAAGTATAGGTGAAATACATAAAAAAACAAGCATAAAAAGAGTTGTATAGATGTTGTTTGCCTTGCTTTCGCAACTTGGTCATATTGGTACATATACTTAGAGGAACGCACCTAGTCCGGAGTCCATTGTATGCATGATAATTGCCAAAAGTCGGACCGTGGACGTGGTACATTCCCAGACATCGAGGTCGGCAGCGGCAGTGAGTCTCGCCATTCTTTGCACCACACAACTACTCGCAAAGAGACAAGTAAAGCCGATCCTTTGACCAAATGTGTGCTAAACAGTTATGGTATCTCCTCTTTTGCCCTGGCCTATTCACATTTCCTATATCCTCCTATCACACCTTCACTGTTACAATTTTTACTGTCCTTATTTAGATGTAGTGAGGTGTGCTCCTTTGAGCGGCATTCATGAAAATCCTTCACACTCCACGCTGGCCTTCTCACCCCCCTTCATCCTTGTGCTGGGAATGTTGATCAGAGTCTGCAATATTGTTATGCAGACCTCCCCCCTAGGTCTTACCACAGTCTCTTTATTACCCTGTAAGATCCGTCTGTCCTCTGCTTGGTTCACAGATTTCACTCGACCCTTGCCACCCCATCTGTGCCACTCGAGGCATTATTCACCCTCTCCTGCGTCTGGGTGACTAATTCGAGGCTAAAGCCTCTGAGTAAGTCTCATGGTCACGCCTTTGCTATATGGACCACGTCTCTTATAAAACCTACTGTCAGCTCACTAGCTCCCATCACTGCCGCGTCTATCCTATTTCTATCTCTAATACCAAGTCTATGACTTCCCATGCCCTAGTCTCTTGTGTGTTAACCCACAATTGTCGTAGTTCTACATGTTTTGATTAGGCTTACGGAAGATTTCTCCTATTTGCTTCCGATTTGTTCCTTTTTCGTCCCGTTGCGATATCTTTTCCTAAAATTAAGGATTTTACCTTGATCAAGTCGTCTTCTTTTTGCTGATGTTGCTGTTGCCTGGTCTTCTCCGAGTTTGTCTAGGCAATATGCAAAGTTCTCGCTGATCCTGCTTTCTTCCAGTCTCCTATTCATTCGATTTCTCTCGGTCAGTATTTCGATGGCATCTCTGATCTTGCGTTTTCTCATATTTTCAACATATGCGGCCAACCTTTCAGTCGATTTTGAACCCCGCTCGTGCAATGTGTTGCACTATTTAGGATCTGTTCGCATCCATATTCTTGCAGAGTCTATGATGTTCCTAGAATCGTAGGCCGATTTTTCTTACTGTTTCACGAATATACTTCTGTTCACCGTTTCCGCATTTGATGCGATAAACTCCCGAGCAATCAAGATTGTCCATCTTCTCGTGTTGCGTCGGCAGACTTGTGAAAAGTGTTTTCTTCTGATTTGTTATCACCCTGATGTTCCATTTCCTTATTAACGGTCGCAATTGTTGGCTCAGTTCTGATGAGGGCAGGCAAATCCACTTCTGGTCGCCCTCCTGATTCCTGATCTGATTTTCATAAAATTCAAATTGAAATCGGCTCCTTATCACCTCTATATTTTTTTCTATAAATGCTCTAGGATATCCGTTACTAAGGGAAATCCGTGTCAGTTTGTTCAATTCCTCATCTCAGAACTCATTTTCTGTTAGTCGTAAGCTTCTGTTGATAAAACTTCTAAGTATTCTGATATTCAGTCAGTATTTATGATGAGACAGAAAATTAAGGATTATTCCCGCATACAAATTCTTCTGTATAGTCTCCTCATGAATGTCCCCTTGGAGCGTATAACTTCAACATCCATTAAGGGTAGTCCTTCATCCTCCACCTCCATTGTGAATTCAATTCTTTCGTCAAGTTGGTTAATAAAATTGAGTAATTCATTTAGATTTTCCTTACCATGTGACCAAAGTGCAAAGTAGTCATCCAAATATCGCATAAGCACTC